GGTGGGGAATCAAGACAAGTATATATGACAAGAATTTATTCCCCTGGGGGGGGGGGGTTGTTGGTGTTATCTAGTAGATGGATGCGGTGAGTGTCATATTAAGCACAGCTACAGGTCTGCACATCACTTACATACACAATAAACAATGGACAGACAGGGGCACCAGTTCACCTAACACCACGTTTTTGTGCTATTATCACATGAGCATCACATGTGCTGTAAACACACACACAGACTGATGAGGGTCTCAAACTCACACCCTCTGAGGTGTGATGCTGCTGAGCTAACCTACACTGTCTGGAATAAGCTTCGGGTTTTCCATCACTCATTACTGGACAAAGTCCATTAAAACCATAATAATAATACCAATATAATACCAAGAATATGCCTTGTTTTAAGTATTCCTCTGCAGTATAAAAATATTATAGGATAAAAGAAAACGCATTTTTAGACTGCAAGCTAGCAATTGTGATGTGTCATAAATTGAAAGATACATGAAAAAAAAATTAATTACCAAACAATACTTTAAGGGTGCAGTTTGTTAACCTGTTATTTCTCTACGCAATTGCCTAAGATGTAAACAAGGTCAGAATAAAGACCCTGGAATGTACTTAAAGGCAGTACTCGAGTTGAGGGGGGATGAGGAGGGAGGTCACCCCCCCTGAAACAAAAACAGTCAAAATCATCCCCCTTCTAAAACGAGCATCCCCCCGTTCCATCCCTACGATAAAATTCACCATCCCCCGATTTGTTTTTACAACTGGACTACTGCTTATAGGCAAGAACATGAAATAAATAATTATCACCAGAAGAAAAGCAATATGGTTATTCTCATTCCGGATAGAGAAACTTTATTTCTCTATATAACATTAAGATAGATGTGTGGCTAAATGATTGTGCTAGGATTTTCTCCTTCTTTGTGTGTTATGCAAAATAGTAACTAATTTGATTGTAAGTTCGTCTGTTTGACGCTCCCCTCCTCAGATACGTGACAGGTTATAAGGATTGTAAGATCCATGCTATAAGGAGATTTTAAAAAAATATGTATCTGGCGTATTTCTCAAGATGAATTCTGTGTTCATCTTACATTTAGGAAGAATAGTTTAAAAAATGTTAAAGGCTACTTCAAACAAAAAGTCGCCGGACCAGTTTTTCACGTTTTTGTGTAAGGTGGCCATTACGCAGGTAAAGGGAGTGAACGCGACGCAGCCCTTTTTTTAAGCCAGGTAAAGTAGCACGGTGCGTTAGCTTAGAACGAGGAAACACCAGCTTTTAAAAAGGGGGAAACGATACATACAAATACTTTTTAGGAAGGCCAGGAAGCTGGTGAGTATTTTCTTGGTCTGTTCGTTGAATTAAACGCATATTGGTTTGAAGTATATGCAAGTTTATTAGGCTGTCCTTAGAAATTCTCCTTGTTTTTTGCAAAGGTGTTGTCCCACGCTTAGCAATATTTTGACGGCGTATTTCAGCGTTAAATTTTAAATTTTTAAATGTACGTAGTGGAATGTAAGCTGTTTAGTTATTTTCACGAGTTAGCCGAGCCTCTGTAAACAGGGCGAGTATGCTGGACTTCATTGAGATATATAGTATGCAGTAATGATAAAGGGTGACGTTAGCATACACCTATGCGGAGTCGAATTTTACACACACATATATATATATATATTTATATTTATATATATATATATATATATATATATATATATATATATATATATATATAGTAGAAAAGCAAGTTGGAGGGGGGGGGGGGAAACGACACAGCGTGGAAATGCATTCCGTGACAAAGAATGCCCAGGTTTCACTTCCGAATATGTAAATAAACATATCATTCAATGTAAGATCTTGTTTATAAGGAAACGATTGTAGTTCTATCGCTCACAGCTCGTTTTTTGAAAATGAATTTATTGGATACTAACCTTATTCCTTGATCTATCATTTTGTTGGTATATATAAGCAGTGGGTTGTATTTGCGGGACAATTCACTCTAATATATAATATGATGTGTGAGGTATACATGATCTGGCAGTTTTTCTCTTCTACTTTTCCCGCACTGCTTCTGAAAAAGATCCCGGCAAATGAATAATTTCTCCAAATTATTCCCTAATAACTAGACCTTTAAGTGTAGGAATAATAGTATCAAATTAAATTATTGAGACTGTTGCACAAAATGTAAAATTTTGGGACACACGATTTTTATTACACTACATTATTTTTTTAACCAGTTGTAATGTCTTTAATGTGTGGTCTCAACATTATTTAGTCGTTAATTTAAGCTTAATACTTCATCCAAGGTATTTCTTTGCGCAAGTAATATTAAAGAACACCAGCACAAGTGTTTTCTGTAATTTAATTCAGGAAGGGTTTGGCTTCTTGCATTCATTCATTTACTTTCTTATGGTTCATTATGAACAATTCAAGCACTGTTTTATAAGTACTGAGGTTGTAGGTTGTGCAATTGGAGACAGTAGAGCCATGTAACAAAGTGTTTACCCTTTGCATGTGCAAACTCGTGCAGTATTTGTTTGCTTTTCTGCAAATACTGCAGATTATCATGCAAATGTTTATGTATTGTACTGTTTTCCTTGGTGTTAAATACAAATATATATGATAAATAGTAATGTACAACCCGAAAAGTGACCTAGGCCTCTCTAACTGTGCAGTTTCTTTCTTTATTTGTAATTATAAATCAATGCACATTTTAAAACTATATTGGGAACCTCAGCACCGTGCTCAGCATCTAGTTTCTACACATGTAATCCTGCATATTGCATTAATGAACGGTAATTTCAAGCTGCTGTCTACTGAATCCTTGCTGTGCTGCTTCTGTACGTGGTTAATTAAATAAAAGATGTGGTGCTTATTTTACTGATGTTAAGGAATCTTTCTTGCAAGGGAATCCTGACAAGAAAGCAGTTCAAATTGTAGCGAAAAATATTACACCACTACAAACAGCTCGATGTTAGACATAGGTATCAATGTTACCCCAGTATGTTGTTATTCCCAGTGAAGCACTGGTGAGATTGCACAATTATGGGCTTATTCTAAAGGCAGGAAGTAGTGAGCTAGATTACCGTTGAAGTTTTAAAGGTATGCTATATAATTTAAAAAATTTAAGAATTGCTTTGATGGGTTATTGTAAACAAAAGAACTTTAGTATGTTGTTTAACTTTTGGTTATTTGTCACAATATACTTGTTTTTAAAGAAGTTTCAAATTTCATTTATATACTATTTTCATGTCTGGGAAACCTCAGGTGTAACAGTTGATTTTACTTTTCTGGTATTAGCTGGATCTTAAAAATTAACCCAATGAAAATCCAATGTAAAAATCTGGAACAAGGATTTTACTAGGTAAACTTTCCCTATAGCTAAACAAATTGTCATCTTAATCCAGAAAAAAAACAGATTTGAATTCTTGTAAAGCGAACTGGCAAATTGAGTACTTCAACAATCTTTAGTGGAACTTCTGATGTTATTCTACTGTTTTTGTAAATCTCATTTTCATTAAGTAAAATCAAGTAAATACATATCAGATTTAAACTTTGAAACATACTGTGTATCAACAAGAAGAGACTGTTGCTTTGTTCTTTACCGTTTGTTAGAAAAAATTTTGAGTAACACCCTTTCTGTTTCGGAAGGTGTTTCTGGAATGAACATTTTGTGTGCAAGAATTAAAAAAACAATATAAGGCTAGATAACCCAGCACAATCACAACAAAAATCAATGGGGGATTTTGTTGCAATGTCCGTCCATCTTTCAACCACTTTTTTGATGAAGGTGCTGCAGGAGGACCTGAGCCTGTATGGTAACACAGTTCATATTTATAAGACACGTATGATCTGCTGCGGCTTAGTTGTTGCTTTACTGTGTTCCAATAGTCATTATATATTTATA